AGGCTTCGGGTTGGTGACCGATTGAGGAGATAGACAGCTGTCATTACTGCCTCTCCCCAGAATCTCCCAGGCATCCCGGCCGTCACCAACAATGACCTCGCTGTCCCGACAATGGTCTGATTTCGGCGCTCGACCACTCCGTTCTGTTGGGGGGAGTAGGTCGCCGTTAGGTGCCGTTGTATGCCGATCTCGTCGCAGTACTTACTGAAACCTGCCGAGGTGAATTCTCTGCCTCGGTCAGTGCGCAGCACTCGCATCTTCTTCTCACATTCGGCCTCCGCTCGCACTTTAATGCGCTTAACCGCCTCTGCCGCCTCACTTTTCGCTTGCAGCAGGGTCAGCCACATGAAGCGGCTTTTGTCATCGACTAACAGGAGGAAGAGACTCTTACCGCCTGGGGTCGCCGGCTTGATGGGCCCGCAAATATCGCCGTGTACAAGCTCCAATGGCTCATCGGCTCGGTAGGCTGTTCGGGACGGAAAGGGTGTGCGCCTCTGTTTGCCGATGAGGCACCCGTCGCACAGCTTGTTCACGCCTTTGATTTCTGGCAAGCCGTGCACCAACTCCTTCTTCTGTAGCTTTTCTAGGGCAGGAAAGTTTAAGTGTCCGTACCTTGCGTGCCACCTCCAAGATACCTCTTCGGTCTTGGCCGAGAGGCTAACGGGTTGGTCTATCTCTAACTCCAGGATGTAAAGACGGTTTGTGGTGCGCCTTGCCTGCGTGAGCAGCCGTCGTTGATTATCGCAGATTTTCAGTAGTCCGCGCTCGATGGAAATGAAGCAACCTGTCTCATCGAGTTGACCCAGGCTCACAAGGTTAGCCTTGAGCCTCGGGATGAAGTAGACGTCGGTCAGCTGGCGATGCTCGCCTCCCTTACTGACGAACAGGATGGTGCCGCGCCCTTCGATCTCGACGACGGAGCCGTCGCCGAATTTCACCGTCCCACGGATCCCCGAGTCGAGTTCGGAGAACGCAGATCTAGCCCCGGTCATATGGTTTGTTGCCCCTGTGTCAAGGATCCATTTCTGGTGCTCGTGTTGCTCGTCCCTTTCGCCGATCTGAGCGAACACTCGCTCCTCCTCCAGTTGAATTGGCTCCCCAGCTGGTGTCATCTTTGCTACGCCCAACTGGAGCTCTTTCTTGGGTTCAACATTGTCGTCGGATTTGGAATCGAAATTGGGGACGCATGCAGTTACCATGAAGAGAGCTGGCTCGTCCTCCTCGGATTGAGCCACATGGGCCTTTTCGGCCTTCTCCTTATTCCTCAGCTTGCTCCAGCAATTTCTGCTCAGGTGTCCTCTCTTTCCACAGTTCGAGCATTGGATCGGCCTGCCATTGGTCGACTCCTTCTTTTGATTCCAATCTTTCCCGCGCGTGCGCCCGTGGGACATCCATGGCTTCTTACCGCCTTTGCGGCTGGAGGAGGACCCGTTGCTCTCGCCGGTGTTGTCGCGGAGCTTTAGGCGTGCAAGCCATTCCTCCTCCGTGAGGAGTAGGCGGCCCTCCTTGTCAACAGCTGAAGTGATATTCTTCTTCCGCTGCTCGACGTTACGTAGTCTTCCGGTCACCTCTTCCACTGTTAGGTCGTTCACATCAAGCAATGTCTCGATTGAAACATCTTCTTTACGATTTCTGCCTCGCTGATGCCACCACCGAGGGTGGTGATGCTGTTGGCGAGCCCCGTGATCCGCATTGAAAAATCATCGACGGATTCGCCGTCCTTAAAGCGAATCTCTCTCAAATATATTCTCTCTCGAATATGGTACAATATTGATTATTCTCTCTCAAGTGAAATTTACGTAATTCCAAACGGTAAGCTTCACAATAAGAGGAATGGAAGCTCTAAGTATCAACGTGGATCAATGTCACTTGTTATTCACCAAAGAATTTTAAAAGACATTGGAGACTTCCCTTATATGTTATACAAAGTTGAGCTTCAAAAAAGAGATGAATTAAATGCACTCTAAGTTACTCTAAGTTGCATGTAATGAACTCAGTTGAATTTATGAAACTAGTCCAAGGATGTCTAATAAGCCCATTTCATTTATTGCATTATTTAATTACAATTTACCTATTTGTTTGTCAATTAAGCTAGTTTTAAATATAGATGTTAAGTTATATTGTAACCCACATACGTTATTATATTTCACGGTTAACTAGCCATTTTAATACGGAGGTTATGGGTATTTCTCATTTAGTAGCCCATTTAATTTGGGAGTTATGTATCACATACATTAAAGTTGTAAAAGCAGTATAAAGTCTCTTCTTTTGACTAGAGACATTAGATTTTGGAATTAAGAATATAATTTCTATTTTAGCTTTGTTGAGAGCTAAATTTTTGTTTGCAAATTCTTGTGTTTAGAACTTACATGCTAGAGTCATTCAAATGGTATTGATCAAACCTCTTGTGGAGTGATTCGAATCACGAGTTTAGAAACGAGTTTTCTTTACTCTTGATCTTGATCATTAAGGTAATCCGTTTCATCCTTTCCCTTGGGTTGATTTCCATATCACGTTCACTTCTCTAATCGACGTGGGACCTCGCTCTTAACATGCATAACTAAGAGTTGAGTTTGACAAAATTTGAGAAAAAGAAACTATGTGATTATTTGATTGTGGTATAAGCCATTTTCACATTTAAGAGACAGTAACGTCCCCAGATATATAGAGAGAGGACTTAGTCTAAACAGAGAGAGCAGTCTAATGCTCGTTGAAATCCTTGAGGACATCTTCAAATGATAAGAGATTGGGCTCTTTCATGTGAAGCCCGTAGTGCTTCCCCTTTGCCATATATGACCAAGGAATACCATCGTCATTCGAGGATCTACGTTGTTGTTGATCAGATCGGACAAACCGTTCACCACACGCTTGTAAATGAACACAATGCCCACCTCTCCTATTGTTTTTATTGACATCCTTAATTGAAAACACTTCTCCACTACTCATTCTGGAACACCGTTGATAGATAGTTTCAACAGATTTACTTTACTCATAGATACTTTAAAGTTCGATATTTATAGTCGTGGCTGAGCCCAAATAGATATAGTCAAATATTAAACAAAGACTAACTGAGCATTTCTCTGTTAAGTGATAGCATTGAATCAAATTCTTTAGTAGTACAAACATTTTGTACATATATTTTTTAGTCAGTCATGTTTTAATTTTTATTCTTTCTTATTTTTCAAAAATTTAAAAAAAAAAATATTCTCTCGAATATGGCAGAATATTTATTATTTTCGAAGCTGTAAGCTTCACACTAAGAGAAATGGAAGCCCCATCAATGTGGATCAGTGTCACTTTTTATTCACCATCTCAACCTAAATTAAACTTTTTTTTTGGTGAAGATATCTATTTATAGAAGCCAAATATGTGAGAGTCGCAAAAATAAAATTGTGACAAGGATACGAGACATAAATATGATACGATACGGCACTGATATGACAATAAAACATTAATTAAAAATATATATTTTAAAAAGTTTATCAATTTTATATCAGAAAGAAATTCAAAATAAACAAATTTATATATGTTTAATGCACGTTTCATTTTACTAACAAGTGTTCAATACATATCTAATACGTGTCGAAGAGGGACACGAGGATAAGTTGTTCTAATGTTTTCTTTACACCCATTCAAAGTAGTTTGAAAACTAGCACGTCAAATATTACGATTGACTAACTACAACTTTAATTTTGTCATTGAATGGGTCGTTTAGACCAAAGGAACAAAATGAGAATAAACATAGGTTTACTACATGTTTTCAAAGATGGGACGTGAGAATAAGTTATTCTCATGCTTTCTTTACATCAGTAAAAGAGTATTTAATACGCTTCCAGAAATAGAGTGTATTTTGTCGTATTTATGTCTTATATTTTTTAAAAAATGACATGAAATCTTGCCCGTGTGATGTCATTACATTAAATTAATTTTAATTTGTTGTTATGTTTTTTTTTTCAAAATTTATTTTATCGATTTAATTTTTTTTAATATTTTATTAATAAAATTAATATTAACTTGTTTTTTTTCTAAAATTAGAAACTAAATTAATAAAATATTGTTCAACTTTTATATATATAATATTCTTAAACTTTAAAAAATTTTAATAATATTTTTAAATTTTCGAAAAATCTAAAATACAACTATAAACTTTCAAATTTGATAATATCCTTACCACTAGTTTTCGATAGAATTTTTTTTTTTTTTAATACTCTTGAATTTTCAAAATGTTTTACAACTAACACGTTTTATAAATGTTTAAAAAATACGAATAATCTTATCATTAGTACCATATTTTAAAATTATTAATAAACTTTCCAGAATAACATTAAAAATACTCTAAGTTTATTTACCATATTTCAAAATTATTAATGAACTTTCAAGAATAACATTAAAAATACTTTTAAGTTTATTTTTAAATTTTTTTTTTTTAAGTTGGAGGGTATTAATGAAATTTCTTAATGTTCAACGACTATTTTGAAACCCGATTGAAAGTTCAACCATATTTTTGAAATAAGTATTAACGATTTCCATCCAAATCTAACGGTAAGAATATTATCTAGAATTCTTTTAAAAAAATTTAAAAATATTATTCTTTTAAAGTTTTAGAAGTATTTTTATTACTTTAGGCAAAATTTTGGAAGCCTCTGTTTGAAACATGTTGGACATGTATTAGACATGTATAAATATAAATTCCATGTTTGTTGGACTGAACTTCGAATAAATTTTGAGCATAAAATACACATTAAACTATTTTTAAATATATTAGTGCATTTTGAATTTCTTTCTAATATAAAATTAATAAAATTTTAATATATATATTAGGAGAGGATTTGTTTCTATTAATATGCATAATTAATAAGTATATATATATATATATATAGATAGATAACTATGTGATTATTTTATTGTAGTCTATGCCATTTTCATAGCTAAAAGACAGTAACGCCCCCTTATATGTCGAGAGAGAGGGCTTAGTGTAACCTAAGAGAGAGCAAACTAATGCTTTTCGAAATCCTTAAGGACATCTTCAAAAGATAAGAGAATGGGCTCTTTGAAGTGAAGTCCAAAGTGTCTCACCTTTGCAATATATGACCAAGGAATACCATCATTATTTAAAGCTTCTATCACAAGAATATAAAGTCGAGGACCTGAGTGGTCGTTGATCATATCGGACAGACCGTTCACCACACTCTTGTAAATGAAAGAATTTCCACTCCTCTTGTTATGTTGTTCCACTGCAGACCATCCAGCATATTGCACTTTTTCGTCACTGACATCCTTAATAGGATTTGATGGCAAAACGTCTTCACGGCTCATTCTAGAACACTTTTGATAGATAGTTTTAACGGATTTACTTTGCTTATGAATACTTTAGAGTTCGATATTTATAGTTGTGGCTAAACGCTACTCAAATTGATATTGTCGAATCTGTAAAAACAAATTGAGCATTCCTCTCTTATTTTTCAAAGATAAAAAAAGATTATTCTCCCTAATATGGTACGACATTATTTATTCTCTCTAGAGTGAATTTGAATTAAAACACATTGTCTGCGCAAGTAATTACCCGGATGAATTGCTAACTAATCCATTTAAATATTAAATATGTGAGAGTTAAATGGGTAATTTTTTTTAGTGATATTTCATATAAAAAATGTGGATTTATATATGCCAAAAAAATAACACTCAATTTGTCTTTACGAGTTTAAGTTTGCGTAATAGATGTATATCAAAGTTATTGAATTTGAAAAACAAGTGGGATACCAATAAAAGCTAGTGGGACTATTGAGATAGTAGTTGAGTCTAAAACAAAGTCATGACCGAAAAATCCTTAAACACGGTTGGTTTGCTTGGTAGACTTCCAAGAAATTATTGAATTTCACCGGAAATGCAAACCAAGTATTTGTTGATGATCTTCCAAGAAATAATTAAATTTACCCCAAAACCAAGAAATAGACCATAATGATTTACTCGAGGATAGGTAATTTGTCTCATTTAATTTGATTGGAACAAGTGAATATCGTGACTAATCACTTCTTCGTTCATGCATAAATGATTTACTCGAGGATTGTTAATTTGTCCCATTTAATTTGATTGGAACAAAATGAAATGAATACCCTTGCTAATCAGAGTGACGAATGTAATAAAGATGTGTTAAATAAACATCCGAAGTTTTGAAGTTGTATAATAACACCAAGATCTGTGCTCCGAATCACTTGAGAGGTTGTGAAAGAAAATAGGAACCTCTTAAATATGTCACCTTTGAGCTTTGTGAGAAATTTGAAGATGCTTATAATGTATTATTGATATTTGATGATCGAGAAAGTCTATCAACCACAACTCTCGGTCTAATAGAATGATTGAGAATTCTTATAGTCAATTCAAGATCCATATTAAGATTAGGAGGTTACCTGTTGATGACGGGATCAGGATAGCTCGCCACAAACATCTCGATAATGAATATGTTCTTGATTTTATTGTTGAGAGGAAAAATATCATGATTTGCTGTGCTCAATCAGAGACGATAGCTATAGAGACTATAAATTAACACTTTTGAGATGTGGGCTTAAAAGGATGATATATATCCCAATTCATTCGTCGTCTCTGTTTTGATTTCTGTCACTTTTCTTCTACTGTTCCTCTTCTCCTACACTGAAATTTTCGATTCTTCTGACATGATGAACTAGTGGGTCTTAGTTTGGATAGAAATTGATGGTATAGATATTGTCACTCATTCTACTAGACCGAAAACTGTGGTTGACAAACTGTTCTCGATCATCCAATATCTAAAATACGTTATAAGCATCGTCAAATTTCTCACATCCAACAATGAAGCCTTTACCATCCCCGACTAGTCCATACATCACCTCAAGTCACAAGTCTGTGAGCCTAGCATTACCACTTCTATTTCTCATTGTTAGTGTTACGGATATTTAGTAATAAATTATAGTTTACCATATATATCATATTTGATATTTTATTATTAGGCAAATATCTTCTTACCATATGTATCTTTTCATTTATTGATATTTGCATTCTTACCATAGGTATCTTTTTATTTATTGTTATTTTCGTTTATTACTCTTTCCATATCATTGTAATTTATTTGATTATATATAAGATAACTTTCACACCATTTAGGTGTGGTAGATTAAGCAAAGATTCTCATGGTATCAGAGCCTTTTCGGTTTAACAACCCCGATCCCTTATTTTCAATGGCTTCTGAATCCCCTACTCATCTTTTTTTCCACCACCCGTTCTGGTTTTGATGCCACACGGACAGTCTCCATGACTGCCACATGAGGAGCTGATTGACTACTCTTCGACTCCACCCTTTTGACCTCCAAATCACCCTTCGCCATATTTTGTACATACAACCTGACCTTTTCCAACACAATCGATTTTTCCTCAACCAACATAGACTCTTTCATTTTCTTCCCAATCTTCCCTTCATCCTTCACATAAACCCTAACCTAAACCTATCAACCTTATGCAAAGATTTACCTTTGGAATCTGGGCGCCGCACTGGCCTCTACATCAACCAAGTCGTCACCGCCCTTCTAGCCAAAATTGGCTCCTCCGCCCACTGTGGCGACTCTTCTAGCTTCAACATTGTCTTTGTCCCTTGCTCCAGGTTTCCCCTTCTACTTCTTGGGTGGACATATTCTCACAAGAGCCAAGGCAACATCGTCGGTAAACGACGATCCCTCTTCATGGGTTAGACATATTTTCGCCGAAGCCAAGGCAGCATCGTCGCTGAGAGACGATCCCTCTGCAGTTTTCGATAGCCAAGAAAATGTTTCTCTATGCCAAGAAAGCGTTTATTACTCTTTCCATATCTACGCAGTTTTTGATAGCCAAGAAAGATTCTCAGTTAGCATGGTAAGTTACCATGGTACCAGAGACTATTCTTCACCGTTCTAGAGGTGGACTTTGTCAGTTACATTTTGGAAACCTTCCAGTTTTAAAATAAAATAAATTTGCTTAAAATCTTATTATTTTTATTTTTTATGTCATTCTCCAAACCTTTCGGTTTTAAAATAAATTAATTTTTTTGTTTTAATTTTATTAAGCATAATTATTTATCAATTTCATTAAATTAATTTTAACGTGTTTGTTATGTTTTTTTTTTTCAAAATTTCTTTTATTGATTCAATTTTTTTAATGTTTTATTAATAAAATTAATATTACTCAATAAAAAAAATTGTATTTTATATTTTCTAAAATTAGACATTAAATTAATAAAAATATGATACGTTTGCTATTAAATATTTCTATATTTTCAAAATTTTCAATAATACCTTCAACTAAATAAAATCTAAAAAACACCTATAAACTTTCAAATTTAAAATATTATTATATTAGTCGTGAATAAAAGTTATTAATATTACTTTTTAAAAACATACTCTCAAATTTTTAAAAGGTTTCAAAACTATTTTAACTTTGAAAACGGTTTAAAAAACAATTTTAAATTTTCAAAAATTTCTAAAAATGATCTTAAGAGTTAAAAGTATAAAATACTAATAAACTTTCAAAAGTAACATTAAAAATAAAATAAAATAAAATAATCTTAGAAGTGCCATAGATTATTTCTGTCCATATATTGACGGTAAAAAAAAATTGATTTTTTTTTTATAATAATGAAATGTGTCGATAAATGATTTTCGTCTACATTTTTTTATATATATAAATATGATAAATATAAAGTTTATGAATATTTTAATTAATTTAAGCAAAATTTTATACCGGATAAAAAAGGAGGGAAAAAGAGATAGAAGAACATATAAAAAAAACCCTTTGAAAACATATCAAATACACTGAGTGTAAAGAAAGTAAAATAACTTATTCTCATATCTCATTTTTTAAAATGGTATTTAACTAAGGATTTTATTTCGTTTTCTCATTCTTATGTTCATTCTGATCTTCGTTCTCTTGATTAAAACGCTTTCTTACGTAACAAAATTAAAGCTGAAGCTTTCAAATTGGTCTGAATTGGTGTAAAAGAAAGCACGAGAATAACTTATTCTCATGTCCATGTTTGAAACATGTCGGACATGTATTAGACAAGTATAAATATAAATTCCACATTTGTTGGACAGTATCGAACACTTGACCTCAAATAAATTTTGAGCGTAAAATACACATTAAATTATTTTTAAATATATTAGTGCATTTCGAATTTCTTTAATACATATATGACCAAGGAATACCATCATAATTTAAAGTCTCTATCACAATAATATATAATCGAGGACCTGGGTCGTTGTTGATTAGATCGGTCAGACCGTTCACCACACTCTTGTAAATAAAACAATTTCCATTCCTCCTGTTATGCTGTTCCACTGCATACCATCCAGCCTCTTGCACTTTTCTGTGATTGACATCCTTAATTGGATTTAGATTTGAAGGCAACACGTCTTCAGAGCTCATTCTGGAACACCTTTGATAGATAGTTTTAACAGATTACTTTGCTGATGAATACTTTAGAGTTCGATATTTAAAGTTGTGGCTAAACGCTACTCAAATTGATATTGTCGAATCTTACAATAAAGACAAATTGAGTACTCCTCTCTTATTTTTCAAAGATAAAAAAAGATTATTCTCTCGAATATGGTACAGTATTGATTATTCTCTCTAGTGTTAATTTAAAGTTAAAACACATTTTCTCATTAAGTAAACACTATCTGCTCCAATGAATTGCTAATATATTATACGGTGTTTAATCAATTTAAATATTAATGCAATTTTTAAGAAAATTTAAATTTTTTATGGCTGAGAAATTTACGAGTATATATGATTTATAATTAAATTTTAATATTATGCATATAATTATTGAAATGATCGTATTTTAATTGAACTATGCTTAAATTAACTTATAAAAATTGAGTAAAATTTAATAACAATTTAGCCTCACGCTTACCACCAACAGATATTGTCCTCTGTAGGCTTTTTATTTTGGACTTTTCCTGATTTTTAAAATGTATCTTGTAGGGAGAGATTTTCACACTCTTATGAAAAATGTTTCGCTCTCTTCCCTAACCAATATTGAATCGCAAATCTAAAGTGTCCAAATCTATTAGTTTCATTCTCTCCGTTTAAATGAGATCCCTCCTTGTACCGTACTGAAGCAAAATCTCTGTTTAAACGGGATCCCTCCCTATACCGTTTTAGGGTAGGTTCACACGTATAAATGGACACCTTCATCCATAACTATTAAGATCGCACAACAACGTACACACCGATCTAAATCACACAAAGAACATGAGAGAGAAAATGCAATGAGGAGTATTGACTAAAGAATTTGTA